AACCGTGAAAATTAATGCCATGGAAATATAACCAATGTGCTTGCACAGCACATGTACTTAATGAATGTGCATATGTACAAGACACATTGGTGTATTGGCCTTGAAATGAGAAGAAATGAGAAGAAATGTTCTGTGATTATAAATTTTTTAAATACTTTTTCTGACCTTTAATGTGATGATAAAAATAATAAAGTAATAAAAATGATGTGTATGTTGTATGTGACACAATTCTGCACATCAATAAGCATAATAGACACTGGCTGCCAGGTTATGTGTAATCTTAATGTCTGTCTTTTTTATTATAGCATGGATGCACTCCTCTCATGGCAGCAGCCCATGAAGGACATAAAGATATAGTGATTGTCCTCATTGAAAGTGGAGCAGATGCCACTGCAACTAATAAAGTAAGCATGATCATTAATTACTCCCAAAAATTAAATTGTCTATTTGAGTGGGTGCATTAAAGTAAGTGCAGGGTCTTTCTTTCTGATTTAACGTGCATGTATGTACATGTATAGCTTAATGTATAATTGTACATGATTCATCACCTGGTGTTTGTAATAATTACATGCATAGTACAATACAAAACTACAAGTTTATTTATAATGGCAGTCATCCATGCACTGCCAATGCATGCCATGCAGTATTTATTCCTCAGCCTGATTATAGTTTCAGCTGTATGCATGGTAAATACTGTGTAGCGGGAAATTTTGGAGAGAGTTAAATTTGGTGGATTGCTAAATTTTGATGATTGGCAAATTTTAATTTGGCAAATTAGTGGCCACATGCCATTGAGGATGTGTATAATGGCTCAGAATGGTGGATTTTATTTTGGTGAATGGCTATCAAAACGCCAGGTTTGCCAAATTAAATTTCCTCCAAAATTTCCCACTATACAGTAAACATAATTGTGTTACATAATAGTATATTGTCTTATAGACTCAGTGGGCATTACCATTTATGAACGACATTTATGTAATTAAAATGTATTTTGAAGTGCCAAAACTTCATAAGGGAAAATTTTGTCAGTGTGTTTTATTTGATGAACATATTCACATGCTTATAGCATGCCAATTATAATAAAATCAATTAATTTGAGAAAGTATTTTGACAAATTTTTTATTGATGGTGGATAATTGGAGTATACCTATCAAATATCAATCATTATCAGATATGGTACCTCCTGCATGCAGGTGTGATATAACTGAAAAAAACATTACTAAAGTATGTGTTAAGCATGGTAACATATTGCATAATCAAATTCAAGGTTAATTTTAAAATGTAGAGCATTAAGGGGTTCCACTCCCTTGCCATGCTTTGACATACATACAGACAAACAACTACTTCATCTTTTGTAAACAATAAAAAAAGTTTATTTAGTACTATCAGTATTTTAGATCTACATTTATAGTAGTTAAAATGTAAAAAATGGTTTTTCTCTCTCTAACCTACTATGAGGATATTGAAAAAGATCAACAATTAAAGTTGATTTTTATCATGTTACTCAATGTTTATTTTGTATAGACTAAAATGACTGCTTGTGATATTGCTGCTATCAAAGGTCATTCTTATGTAGCTGATTTTCTGCAGAAATTTCAAGGTAATGTAATTAAACTTGTTTACTATATTCAATTTCAACTGATGTTAATTATTACAATGAAATTTATTTTATGAACTACCATGCATCTTATATACATTCCTTTCCTGATTTAATAAAAGGTGTGTCATGATAGTCACTACTTTCTTGTTCATAGTGTTTGTATATCTTATGTGCAATAATTATGTTTGCTTGATAGTCTTTGTATTGTGCAAGTACAGTATATAACTACCTCAAGAACTACATTCACCCTTAG